AACTCTTGACAAGTAACAAGAAGAAAACTTCATGTGAAACCCCTATTCCTGCTATTATTTCTGAAAATGAACAATGCTTTGTAGTAGAGCAGAAAAAGGCAAGGAGGTATTTGTAAAACAAATGAGCATATGGACTGCTGAAGGAATATTTCTAGCAATGATTTTCTTAGCAAATTCTTAGTGATTGCTCTTTATAATTGTGGGAAAAAATAGTAAAGAAGGAACTTCTGATATGCCAAAAAATATTCTGATTGATATCAGTTTTATAGTACACTTGATTTTAGCAAGAATAATTTTAAATATTGTATATAAAAACCCTATTACATGAGAAAAATAATACTTCAACTAAAACTAATAAGAAATGTGCAAAAAAAAAAGATGAAGCTTGCAGTATTTTTGTACATTTGTAGTGTAATTTGTTGGGGAGGTTACTTGAAGATGTAAATCATGGTATTTGTCTGTTTCACTTGCTCCAATTCAAATGGTTACCTTTTTTGGAAAATAGTAATTTGATTAAGGGGACTTTTCAGAGCATCAAGACAATAGCATAAGAAAAATCACAATGAGTGTTCTTATGAATAGCCATTTCTCCCCCTCATATGGCAAATCGCTCATATGAAATGGAGCAAGGCTTCAATTGTGCCATTGCTGCTGCCATTCTGACTTCTCTGCGGACACTGCTACCCGTTTGCTCCTCTCCCCATCATCTGTCTGCATCTGCTTTATCATTACTGTTCCTTCTGTTGAGGCCCCTGCAGGCAGGCCCAGCTCTAAGGTCTGGGTTAGTACATTCATATTTGGCTGACATTACTCATTGTAGCATTTTTCTTTTTAATTTAATCTGCTCAATATGCTGTTGTCTATAAGTACCGAGGACCCTATGCAAGACTGCCTTTCATCCACACCTGGCATGGCTAAAACCACAGCAACCAGAATGCTTGCATTTTGCAGTCTCTACAGCCTCATTCAGTTAAAAATGATTGAAGAAATCCTTTGCTTTTTTCAAGCAGGAGATGTTGGCGCTTGGAAGAGCTTGAATGAAATTTCTTTTTTTAAAGAAAAGATAAACAAACCTGCTCCCCAGAGAGAGAGAGAGAGAGAGAGAGAGAGAGAGAGAGAGAGAGAGATACCTCACTTCCACCAATGTGTGCTGAATACTTGTGTGACTAGATCTTCATGCTGTATCCCAAAGGTCCTTTTTTCCAGAAGGCATCTGGACTTTCTTGTGTTTTTAAGAACTGAAGAGCTTCTTGGATGAGAAGTGAAATGTTTTCAAAGAAAAGATCAAGAAAATCCAGTTGCCTTTTGGAAAAACAATTTTGAGACAACCATGACCAGGATGATTGAGAATCTATATAGACATACATGCTGCATTTCTTCTACAAACAACACACAAATGTTTTTCTTCCCTTTCAAATGTAGACAATCACTTCAAATTTTACGGGGAAAAAAGAGGCAGGCAAGGAGAGGTATTGAAAGTGCCAACTAGCACAGAAAGGGTTTAGTGTTTTTGCTGTAATAGCATTTGCTGAGTGTTTTTACACTCAGATAAATCTATCCAAAGTTATATTTTCTATAGAATTTAGAGTCTTTCGCCAAGGTGAGTCTCCTACCATTGCCAAATGTATATTTAAATTTGATTTAAAAAAACATCTGGGCAGATTCATGCCCATACAATGCATGTTCATGCACCCAGAAAAATACATTTGAGTATCCATTTACTTGTCTAAGTTATAGATTTATCAGGTTTTGATTGCCTCAAGTATTAGGTAAAAAATAGATGAGATATTTTAAAAAGAAATACAGATAGTGATGTTGCACAAGCATCATCAAAATTAATCATAGCAAAGAAACAAATCACTTTCCATTTTCAGAAATTTCTTTGTGTGCTATAATTTCTATGGTATTTTTAAAAAGTATTCAGAGACATCATATGGGTGGGAATAATTGGAAATGCATGCCTAATACAAATTAGGTATGCATTCCCAATTATAATAGTATATATTGTTAAAAAAAAGTTCTGCTTTTCTGTTTTTGCAATAAAGATCATCCTCAGCCAATGCAAATTTTAAAAAGATAGAATCACACTATCTGAGTTTCTATTTATATACAACTGTGTTCCTGATGAATAATATATGGTGTGATAAATATACGCATTTTAGTTATAAACATAAAAAATCTCCAAGAAAATAAATATGTCATATATATTTTAGAACCTGTTGGCTCCTTAGTGAAGTGGGGCAAACTTTTTGCATATACAAAACAACAACCAGCAGCTGCAGTGGAAATGATTTTTTTTTTATATAACGAAGAGGGTTTTTTTGAAAATATATTCAAGGATAGGGAGCTCAAAAAGTAATTACTTTAAATGTTATTATTTTAAATAATAATGGAAGCGTAATGTTCTTCACCCAAAAATGCTTAACATTTTTAGTGTAAACATTCATTTTAAATACAATCACAAGAAGTTTATATTTGGTAAAGAGATAAGAAATATCTTGCCTCATGACAAACCAAAGATGCAAAAATCAACATATGGTATCCCCAAACACATTGGTTTTTTTGTAGAGAATTACAGAATACCAGAAGAGCAGTACATTATGGGAACATTCTTATCTCTCTGCCGAAGTAGGATGAACTAGACAGTGATGTGAACTGAAAACAAAACTCTGAATTTAAACATGAAGTTTTGGTATCCATCTGTAATCTCTGACAGTAATAACTGCTTTTAATGATTCTTTTAATATATTTATTGTTTTATTTAATTGTTACATGTTGTTTAGAGTCACTGTGTGAAATGGGCAGTCCTATAAATTTGATAGATAAATGTATGTATGTATGTATGTTACAATCACTTATCACTAACATAGCTACCATCTTGATTTGGTCCTCAATAGGAATTAGAAAATAAAATTGTTTTTCCTTAAAAACACATTACTATGAGAAACAGTAGTTTTCTCATTCAATTCATGCCTTGGCTTTGGATAAGATCAGTTTATCAGATAATATTTTCGAGGTATAGTTGTATTCCATATACAAAACTGTTATGGAACTGTGCTTGCATTAACATGAAAGGAAAGGGGGAAAGGGAAGGAGAAAGGGGGAACGATAGGATAGGATAGGAAAGGAAAGGTGTTAAATGTAAACCATGGCAAGTATATAAATTCACTTTTTGCAGGACATGTAGTGGAGTCAATTTGCTTAGATTAGAACTGAAAAAACCCCCGCCTACCTTGCCTTTCCCCCTCCCACTGCAATTAATTCAAGAACTGACTTGATTTCCTTATTCTGATTTTCCACTTGTAACTAACATCACGGTTCCATCTTCAGTAAGCAGGTACTCTTTTTTTTAGTGTACAATAATTATATTCTGTGGGTAGCTTGAGTGACTGGTGCAGCCTTGTGCTGAAATACATTTTCTGCTAGTCCTGCCAAGTTTCAGTAGACACAATTCATGATCTCTGGTTAATTCAAATATAATGAGGGTGTGAACAGATAAAGGAGTTTTTGATTAATGACTGGGTAGGGTGGATATATTAACAGGAAGACAGGTTTATATTGTTCAAAATGAATCAACACTTGGTACAAATAAGTAGCAAGAATTCGCAACAAATCTCTTCCCAGACTATATACATATTTAATTACAGCTCAGTTTAATGGCTGCAGTTATACGGTGGGTAGATCTGCAGCGCTCACATAGATTACATCCTGTATTAACTTGCATTTTCACATCAATCTTCCTTCTTTGACTAGGTTGACTAGGTTGGCTTGTGTGTTTAATATTGGAACCTAGATTTCTTTCCCCTAGAAAGCGGAGTGATCTCAGCATATTGTTCAAATCTTCATAAACTTTCAAAGTTTTTAGAAATACAATATAGCTGGTGCTTGACACAGTAGTTAAGCAAATCCAGCTTCTCCCATTGACTTTGCTTGGCTGTAGTTGCAACCATAGTAAAAAAAAAAAAATGCTGGTTATCAAACATCCACATTTAGATCACGTGGCCATGGGGATATTGTGATGGTCCTGTGAGAGCCTGTCATAAGTAAGCTTTTTCAGTGCTGTTGTAACTTCAATGATGACTAAATAAATAGTTGCAAGTTAAGGACTACCTATATGTGCTCATGCTGAGACTCTGATATTTACTAGCCTATTACTGACCCCACAAAACCACAGCAATCTCAGAGGCATTACATTCATTCACAGTGCCCTGAAGAAGGCTCTCTATCAATATATGAGCCTCTACCCCCAAATTTATTGTGTAGCCAGCTATCAAAAGTTATCAGCATTGTATTAAAATATTAGCAATTCAAAACATAGTTTAAAACTAGTAGCAAAATAACGGAAGTCATTAGCAAGTTAGCCTACAAAATTTGTGAAAAATATAGATAGCAGCAGCAACTTTCTAGCAATTTAAAACATTTCATATGCATGAAAAGAAATTAATCATAATCTTCTTAAAATGGAATATTTTAAATAAAGCCCTAGGGGATTTAATAGGTACTTTGTCACAAAGAAGAACATCTAAGATAGGAACCCTGCAGTGAAAACGCCAAATTCAGCTGCCCCTAACCCCACCACAGTAGGGGAAGGAATTGATGATGGAGCAGAGCATATGAGACAAAGGGCTTTGCGCAGAACTGATATTGGAATTCCTGGGTTTCACACAGCCAACCCAAATTTCTTGCCAGATGAAGCAAGAAGATATGGGAACACTACATGCAACTCTCCCAGAAATGGGTCAGGGTCTGAAAACTTTCCAAATAGAAGAAAACTGTAAGAACTCAGTTTTTTTCTTAATCTTTCTCACAAGTATTGAAGTCCTCAGTTACCCCTAGTTCAACAACATTAATCCCAATAGGACTGTCTGTCTTGTCTTTGTCCAGAAAGGGCTGGAGCTTAAGTTTATCAACTAGGACCTTATAGAAGCCTCTGCATGATTTATGCTCCCCTGCTGAGATTTGAACTTGTGCAGATAGCGTAGTCTTGTAAAATTACTCACCCCGCATCTCCACCAACATTAGTGGGATAAAGCCTAGAAGATGCGTGAATCTCATTAGTCTGTTCCACCACATCCGATGCAATACAAGCACCCCTTTTTCTGTCCTTGCCGTGGCTTTTCTGCTACCTGCTATGGTTGAAGGGAGGGGGTAGGGAGCAAGACTGAGTGCTTTTCCTCTCCCTCTCCCTCCTGATGTGGTTTTTTTGCGTCACTTCTCAACAATGGCTTGGAGCGTACTTCACTAGGTGTCTTTTTAAAGACTTAATGGTTTAGAATTGGGCCCCAGCTTCCTTCACAAAGGGATTCACACTATCAGACCACAAAAACATCCACCCTTATTCTTGTTTACTTAGCAGGCACAAAAGTACCCCAACATGGATATCTCTGAAACAGAATGGTAGAGAGAGAGAGAGGGAGAGAGAGGGAGAGGGAGAGGGACGGATGAATTGCAGCTAGCATAAAGAAAACCAAAAGTTGAATAGATGGGATCATGTTCAGCATTGCCTAATTTGGAAGGGTCCAAGAGGCTAGATCTCTTTGAGGAAACTGATGAGGAAGACCAAAATTTAAAAATGAAGGTAACCAGAAAGGCAATCAGGCACATCATCAGTCTCTCAAGAACAGCATTCACTACCCAAATGGTAGGTTTGTGTTGCAACCGTTTCACTTGTGACTAATGAACAGTTAACCACAGATAGGCTGCTCAATATTTCTGGTTGCCATGGGAACTACAAAAGTCAGATTTCAGCTCATACAGTGTATATATTTCTAGGAGCAGGACAGAGCTCATTGAGTTAAGGATAATAAGTGCTCGCGCAGGACCCAGAGCAAAGCCTATTGCAAACAATCTCTGTATGCTAGGGGCATCAGTGTGCGGGATTCAAAAGCATTAAAAAAACCCGTAACGTCTGTCAATACATCAGATTCTGTCCACCATTTTGTGTTGATCTTGTTCTGACAGTTCTTCACTAGTTTTATGCTCTGTCCAACCCTTCATAATGAAGTCCTGGTCTGCAGATAATAATGGGGCGGCTCCACAGATTACCATTGTTTTGCTCCTGTAAAGAGAACCAAGAGAACTAAACAATAGGAACTCTATAAGAATGGTATATTTAATCCCCTTTCCGTTAAGCTCTCAGAGCAGAGAGATACAGATATTGCATTATATCATGGCCTCAGGGTTACAGGGTGTTTTTTTTTTTGTTGTTGTAAATTTCCACACATGTTTTTGTAAATATCAATATCTGGCAAATAATTTTGATTTTTGTAGTCTCCTGAAATGGTCATGAGAGCTCCTCAGGGCTCCTTGGACCATACTTTAAGAATCACTGACCTAAAGTTTCCAACTATCTCAACAGACAAAGGAGGATACAGATAAGGAGGCCAAATCTGTGGTCTGAAGGGAAGGAAAATGCCCTGTTTAATTTTCTTCATATCTACAATAAAAATTACAGCAAAAAGCCCGCAAAAATCTGCTTAGGCTACCTGTATATGAAATTATTTTTCCAGGCTCAGAAAGACCGGTTATTCCATCTCAATGTTTTTCCAGCAGATCTTTAGTTTCAAGAATATAACTTAGAAAGATTATGGCATCAATGACACACTTTTCATGTTTCACCATCAAACCATATGATGAGTCATATGATCTGTGGAGAACAGTAGTTGTAGATTTCAAGGTTGAAACTGATTGCTGGAACCAGGAAATAAATTACATAAAACTAGGCTATGAGGTCTTTTGATGGACAAGAGGGGGAAAAAGCACACAATTTACAAGATGACAATAACCAGAAAGTTTCAACGACTACTGTTGTGAAAACAATTCAAAATGAAAACAAACAAGACATTCAAAAAGCAGGCAATGCAATGGTGGGATTCAATTTTTTTTACTACCGATTCTGTGGGTGTGGCTAGGTGGACGTGGCTATGTGGGCAGGGCCATGTGATTGGGTGACCGTGGCTTTTTTTGGCAGTACCACCCCCATCCCACCCCATTTTTTGGGCCTTCCTGGCCTCAGGGGAGCCTTTGGGGGTGCGTTTTTGCTCCCAGAAGGCTCCCCTAGGGCTCAGGAAGGAGAAAAAAAACAGAGCATAGGAGGGACCTGCAGCACCCCTCCACGGTCCATTTTGGGACCTTCCTGGCCTCAGAGGAGTCTCTGAGGGGGGCATTTTTGCTCCCAGGAAGCTTCCCTGGGCTCTAGGTCTGCACCCCCTTCCTCCATTTTTTGCCTTCTTGGCCTCAGGGAAGCCTCCTGGGCGAAGCAGTAAGGAGCGAGGGGATTGTTAAGAGGTTAAAAAAAAAGAAATACAGATACAGATAATCAGAGTTGGAAGGGACCTTATAGGTCATCTAGTCCAACCCCCTGCCTAAGTGGGAGACCCTACACCATTTCTGACAGATGGCAGACCAATCTCTTCTTGAAAGCCCCAATACCTTAAGGAGTGACTGGGCGGGTGAGCATCAGGCAAACAAGCGAGCAGTGACTGGCTGACTGGATTGGGGACGTGGCCACCCAGAAGTTACTACCGGTTCGGCGACCCTTGCCAAATCTTTGCTACCGGTTCGCCCGAAGTGGTGCAAACTGGCTGAATACCACTACTGAGGCAATGCCTTCCAGATGGTTGATATGAGGACAAAAAGGAGGACATGTCCTTCTGCTGGGCATTTGGTAACCTTAAATCTATCTGCTTTCTGAAAGCCCATTAAAACCAACCCAACTGAAATATTGATGGGGTGGAAGTTGGGATAAAGTTGTTGCTGAGGGAACAACTTTCATCCTGCTTTATCTCAGAAGTCCTTTCTACATCACCAACATATTTTTGAACACACTTCTTCAGTCTTCTGAAAGACCAATGTTCAAAGTAGCTCAAATGAATAAAGTATTTCTTCACTGGCAAACAATTAGCTAGGGATCTTGAAAGATGGCTGAAGTTTCTGTCCAAGGTGTCTGTGTATTTTTGGACATGGCTTCCTTGTCACACTTAAAAGAGAGCCATTAGTTATGTTTGTCCTACCAGCTATTCACAATAAATAGTAGAAAAACCAAAGCCAGATGAATCAATGTACATACATTGTGAGAGGGTACTCTAAGGACAGGACCACTTATGAATGAGCCTTGAGCCTGCTTACTAATAAAGATTACAGCTCAGACATTGGGGCAGCACAAAATACGCTGGGCCAAGAACTGGAAGAATGCACATTATCATGGCTTAACTGATTAGTTAAGGATAGCTTAGCTTCAGTAACATTGCTATTGTTAACTCTCTCTTTCTGTGATTATAAGCACAGGATACATCTAGTTGGGCAGTGCAGTAGAGGTTATTCTTTTATTTATTTTATTTCTCATATTTATACTTAATTCCTTAGCCTGACCCAGGCTAATTTTATAAAACCAATAATTTTTTTGGACAATTCCATATTCCATTTTTCCCCTCCCAAAGTGAAATACCATGAAGATTTGTTTTTCTGGCTGAAACCCACATTGTCGGTACTCCTCTTTGCTATACACTTAATGGAAATACTCCAGTGTAATGTACCAATGATAGACAATAATGAGCTGCAGCCAGGTTAATGGTGCACATTCTTCCTGAGAGTGCTAATGCTCTAAAGTCATTAAAGCTCACCCTCAATTATATTAAGTCAGGGTTAGAATTAGGGTCCTGGCCCATGATATCTGCTGAGGAAGCAGGCAAAGGAACAGCATTGACGCAAGTGTTGCCACCAAGATGGCCCATGCCTCCTGACAAAAATAACAGCCTTTGTTTCAATAAATAGCCTCACACTTCCTGTGCCTGCCTATGTGTTTTGTGTGTGTGTGTGTGTGTGTGTTTGGTTCCTTCTATATTTACTTCTGATTATCTCAATCTGTGGTCTCTGCTTAAGGCAAGGAAGGTTTTTGCTCAAAATGACAGGAAATTCACAGACAACACTGTCGGGACAGCTTACCTTTCAGTGCAACTGTGCAGAACTGACTTCAGTCTTATCTGCCCGGGAGTCTCGCTCATCAACAGAATACAGCGGCAGAGGCAAGTGAGAAAATCAACACTTTAATCAGGGCAAAGCTACTAATGTGGTATAGAGAGGCCATTTCTAAACCGAGACGCATCTGTTTCATCTTGATCCTAAGATACTAAGCTCCTGAAAGGTCATCAGGGCTCTGCTGCAGGCTGCTCTTTCAAGTTCAGGCTGCTTTAATGCAATCAAAGCTCATCTCCTTTCAGAGAGTCTCACAAAGAAAGCGAATCTCACTGAAAGATCAAGGAGATTCTTGAAGATCACAATAAACATTCCAGGCCCTGTCTTTTCTTAGTCCACATTGACGTTTGTTTGCATACAGATTCAGTGCCACCTCAGATGTGAGATGCCTCTTTTATTACCTCAGGAGACCGATAATATAAAGTCGGGAGTTTTTCCTCCCAAATGATACCCATCTTTCCCTCCCTCCTTCATCTCCCTCGGAATTCACTTCCTGAGATAGAAAGGTTAGGAACTGCAGCCTGAAAAAGTGCAATTGAGAAGTAACGTTTCCATCTCCTCCTAGTGTTTTCAGGATGTTTTAGAAAACTTGCTCATCCCTCAAGTTTTATCCATAAACTGTAGGTCTTCCTGATATTGTTTTCAATGTAAACACCCTTGGCTTTGATTATCTCCAGACTTTCACTTCTGCAGAATAAATAAACAAATAGCTCTCAAAATGCCTGTTTGAAAACAAATGGCTGTTAAAACCAGCAAAAGAGTCAATGTCAATTAACTAATTTACAGCTGTTATCCCAAATGTCCATATTTAAATAGACTGCAAATCAGTTGTTTGGATGCAAGCAGGAGATGGGTCTGAATAAGGCAGAGTGGCTGGATTGTTGCAAGCTGTTTTGGTTTTAAAAGGATACCTTGGACAAGACAGAGCAAGGCAGGACAGGACAGGGTAGACTAGGCAGGGGTGGGATTCAGCCAGTGTCATTACTGGTTTGGTGATTATGTTTTGCATGCACAAGCGCGCTTTGCACACCCACACGCCAGATGCGCACTGCGCGCGTGTGTAATAAACCTTAAGCTGTGCTGCCCGGACAGCTGATAAGTGCTGCATGTGGGTACACAGCGTTTGAAAAGGTTTCAAAGTTTTTTACTGCTT